TGCTACGGGCATTAGTGTAGAGGCATTTCAGGCCTCCAGTAGACGTGTATACCGACCCCCTAGTCCCAGCATTCCCCTGGTCCCCATCTCTTACCTGTTTATCTGCTGCGCTTGTCGGTCTGGGCTGGGCTGTAGTTGTGGGCGCCGTTTGGTCTGGTAGTCTGATGTATCCTCCGCCCTCATCTGCCCCTTCCCCCGACGAGCCTAGTTTAAAGCCCACCGGAGTAGCTCCGCCAACCTAAAAGAGAACACGCTTACCTTTAGGGGAAAGGTGGAGCCCGTCCCATCCTAGCACGTCTCTCGTCGTGATGTGCTGGTCGTGATCGAGGAAGCCGAAACCCACCTCGAAACACCACTCCCGTAGTTGCCAGTTGGTCTCCGCGACGCATGATTCGTGCCGTCTGCCCCGTCCACTCACTGGACGAGTGGCAGGAGAGGTCCATTTTCATGGACCCCTCCTGGCAGTGCAGGGATTAACATACAAAGCAGCTCCCCCCACCATTACACACACACACACACACACACACACACACACACACACACACACTGGGTTAAACTGAGGCACGGAGGGAGAGGAGAGCCCAGGCAAACGGGCTCCCAGCCCCACCCCAGAACCAGCTGCATTTGCTGACTCAAGTCAAATCATCCAGAGAGGCCCCACACAGCCAATAGGAACTGGTGGGGGCCGCAGTCTGAGAGCAGAGCGGTCAGGATCAGGGCCTCTGCCTGGGCAAGTGAGATCCTGGCAGGGATTGAGGGGAGCTTCATTTAGGGAAAATACAGTCGCTGTGCTGGGGGAGGGGGCTGTACCTGGTGCAGATTGAGAGGGGGCTTTATTTAGGGAAATTACGGTAATGACCCCTCCTCCAGTCCAAGGGGGCTCTCTCCATCCCAGAAGCCCCTGAGGCAGCCCCCTACTGCTGAGACCCCGCTCCCCCCATCTCCCAGGCAGCTCAGAGTTGGAAGGTTACTCAGGAGCCCCCCTCAACCTCCCCACTGCCCTTTGCACCCCCCACCCCCAACATGGCCTGTCCACCCGGCTCACAGGCACATGGAGCCCAGGTGTGCGCGCACACACACGCGCACGTGCACACACACACACACACACACAGAACTCAGGCACCCCCCCCCCCACACACACACACATGCACACACAACTCAGGTGTCCCGGCCCCGACACACCCCCACCAGCCTCCCAGCTCTCCCTCTCCTTCGCCACACATCTACTTCTAAAGTGTGCGTGCGTGTGTGTGTGCATGTGCAGGGGAGCCCGTGCCTCAGTGCCTGGCATGTGTGTGTGCACAGACGCATGTGGTGCCCGGTGCAGTCAAATCAGCCTCATGGCTGAACATATGTCTCGGGGGCGGGGGGGCGGCACTTAATCCCTGTGGGGGGAGCAGGGGGATTATCGCCATGGCTCCCCGCCGCGTGAATAATCCCAGCAGGAGGGAGGGGCACAAGATGGGGGAGGGGCAGGAGGGCAAAATCCTGTCCCCCCAGCCCGCACCACCCCCCCTTTCTAATTCCTTGGGATCGTTGGCAATTATTCAGCTCCCATTAATGAGTTTAGGGGATTAAGCAGGAGGGGGTCCTTGCCTTCTGATCCCTGGGACACCCAGGTGAGGGGGGGAGACAAGATGGCAGCAGGTGTCTAGGTTTCAGCCTAGTCCAGAGGCAGCTGAGGGACCCACAGGGACCCCACGGGAGGGCCCTTCTGACCCCTCGCTGGCCTCAGGGTGCCCCAGGGAGGCAACTGGGTGAGAGGCCCCATCAACGGGGACAGAAGTGGGGGTAAAAACCCAAAGGAAGATGGCAACAGCATCACTTCCTGTGGGGATAGGAAGTCCATGGTTCTTCACCGCCTGCCCCAGCCTTGGGGTGGGGGCAGCAGGTGGGGGGATGGGGCAGGGGATTTGCCCCAGGGACCGGCTGGGCTCAGCTCTCCCTGCTGCGGGGTGGGGGGGCACCATGTTCCTCTGCCCGCAGGGGTGGGGGCACAGCGTGCCCTGAGTCCTGGGAAGGGGCAGGAGCGGGGAGGGGAGCGGGGGGGATGTGGGGCAGTAATCGGAGGGAGGGTGCTGGGGGTGGATGGATGGACAGACAACGGATAGACAGAATGATGGAGGGATGGAGGGATAGTAGATAGATATGGATAGACAAATGGATGGATGGATGGAGGGATGGATGGATGGATAAATATACAGGTGGATAGACCAACAGATATAGAGGTGGATGGATGGATGAACTCATCACTAAATAATAGATCAGATTGATGGACAGATTGACAGAGAGGTGGATAACAGATAAGCAGATGAATAGGTAGAAAGACAAGTCAATGGATAGATGGAAAGACAAGTAGACATAGAGATGGATGGATAAATGGATAGAAAAACAGGAGCTATAGAGGTGGGTGGATGGATGGATGGATGAATGGATGGATGAATGGATAGAAACAGCTGGATAATAGACTGATAGATGGGCAAATTGATAGATGGATAATAGACAGATGGATAGATGGAAAGATAGATGGATGGATGGATTCACAGATAGCTGAATACATACACAGGTGGATAATAGACACATACACAGAGAGATGGATGGATGGATGGATGGATATGGACAGGTGGACAGATAGGCAAACAGATGATGGATGGGCAAAGGAGGGAGCTGCGGGGATGCCTGACTGGGGCTTAGGACGGAAGCACGGATGGACATCCCC